GAGCGTGCGCGCGGAGCAGCGGCGGGGCTGGCGAGCAGCGGGGCGGCGGCGGGGCCCGTCCAGCTTCTCGGTCTCACTGATTTGTGGGCTAGAGGTAAGACACAGGCGGACAGGAGCGGACGAGAGGGACGAGAAGAGTGTCCGTTTTCTGTCCGTTCGGGGGCATTCTTGGACCAAGTTTGCTCCAGGTTTGGGGTTGGGCCGGACAAAAAAGGCGTCCATAGAACAACTCTGTCCGTTTGGGTATTACCGCTGGGTCATGTTTTACCCCAAACGGTACGCGGTGGAGTTGGCCTAACACCAAAGAAAAAGAGGTATCTGATCCCATCATGTTAACTCACATGGTGCACAGTACATGTGCAGGCGTCCGCCTCAGCATGCAGCAGGTCAAACAGTAGAGATGCTGCTTAAATTCAGGTCGGTATTCACCAAGCCATGGTGTTACTCTCTCTCCCTCCCTCTCTCTCCAAGAACAGAAACAGAATGATGAAAACATCAGTCACCTCGTGTTCGTGTGCGTGCGCGTGTTGTCTGTTTCGAGCTAGCGGTTGGTCACACAAAAAACGCACGAGAGCCTTCACTTCACACCTGTCACGCTGATTTTTGCTGGCTAAAAGATTGACAGATCAAATCCCTCGCTTCCCCAGAGCCAGAGGCCCGAAGAAAAGCGGTCTAAAAAGCTGGTTAGAATATACTCCTAGTCGTCAGTTTCTGTGTTTGCCTTTGACGCTGCCGATGGCATCATCTTTTGTCAAAATCAGAGCGTATGATACCCCACACACATCACACATCTCATCCAAGAGGGCCTCGTCAAGATACACCGGCATTATTGTCATCACTTCTCCCCAATAGGCAAGTATACATTGTTAGTTTACTGAATTGCCCATAATAATAATACTACATAAAGTCTAGAGAAACAGTACAATACAATCATATCCAGCAAGTTGGTTAAGCTTTGACGCTGTAGCACGCTAGAAAAACGATAAGATGCTAACCTCAAAGAACGGGACGAGCACTGCAGCTTACAAATTGACATACTCAGAGCCAGGCAAGACAGCTGCGATGCCGTTTCTTTGTTTGTGGAATGCTCAAGCTGCGGCATGGCTGACATGAGCATGCCCAACAAGATCGTTTCCTCCATATATTGCCGTTACAGGTGCTCTGACTGGTTGCAGCCGAATTGGCGCATCACTTGTTCTTTGTTTTTGTATCAGACACCAAAGCCTTGACACAAAGACGGGGTTTAGCCGAGACGAGTTCAGCTGGGAGAACAGACACCCCGGCGACTGAAGATCCAACAGGCACCCCAGAAATGGGGAGCACCTCCACTAGTACTGCCACCTGGACATTAGAAATACAGTCCTACTGTAAGCAGTGAGCAAGATTAATGAAGGACGTCGTTACAAACAAACTTTCAACTTGGCATACTCTGCAGATTACCTTAAATATAATATAGTGTTCTACTTGACATATCGCGATAAATTATCGTAAAGTCTAATTGTCCTCCATATATGTAAGATGTTTGATAACAATATTAGTTCGCTATAGTCAAAAGGAAGTGAAACATGGTGAAATTAAACGTGCTCAAACTACTGTGTCAGGTAAGGTACCAATACCTGACCAGACCTATATCAATTGTCATCATGATGGAATGGAAGACAAGGCCTTACTTCCACTAGTCAATATTCAACGCAGCTGTTCTAAAATTTTCAGTCCTTGGATTATGCTGCTTTGAGTTTCTACTTTAGATAGCTGACCAGTAAATTCGCTAAACTATAACAAATTACTGAAGGATTTGTTCAAAGATACCTCAGGAGACTTGAGATCCACAATTGCGTCCTTAGCAACTGACTTGACAGCAGCAGCAACAACCTTGAAACATTGTTGCCTATCCATTAAACCTTGTTGAATTGAGCTGTTATTGTCATTCTTCTGCGTCTTATTCACCGTTTCATCAATGCCTCTCCTACTGTACCCAACTGCGAACTTTATCATAGGTTAAATGTATACTCAACTCAATAAGAACAATGAAATACGGATAATCTTGTGGTCAATATATTTCCATGAGATATTATTGCTGGTAATGAAGTAACTTCATTCTTCAAAATAAATGCAAGATTTAGTCAGCCCCTATGTTATGTGGGTTACTTGTAACAGCGCCATCCACAACATGGCCAGATGCCAGATGGCGAAGTCCTCAAGAAGTAGCAGAAGAAGTCTAGCAATGCCTTAGCTCACTACGTATCTTAGTTAGCAGCAGATTGGTATCTAATCCAGTACATACCCTAGTTAGCAGAAGATTTCCATCTAATCTAATACATGTCCTAGTTCCAAGAGGTCAATAGAAGTCCGGCATGTTTGGACTGGTTGATGATGACTCCTATATACAACAGGAATGGCAAGTTACTGAGTAACCTATCAACCCAGAAGATAGTCTTCCCTAACATCCTCTCTTCGCCGCCGATAACCGCTTATGAGGCTGAGAGCTCCCACGCCACGGCTTAGCCCTAAGATCACAGAGCTCTACCATGGTACCACCCAAGGATGTAATTATTTTTTATGGCTAATAACTAAGGATGACGGGCATGGGGAACAGAACAATTGTAAATTGCACACACCATCATACCATAAAACTAAATAAAATGCAGGGATCAATTTTAATCAGCATATCCAATCAGTATACAAGACCAGCAATACTAAATATATTTTAAAAAGGGCTAGATAAAATACTGGAACAAACTATTCGATGAATTTAACTGAAGTTGCAATTTAATCTCACAGTACAACTGGTATGAACCTCTCTATATAAGGAGAGGAGATGTATCAATCTAATCAAGCAAGAAGCAATAATATTTGCTCGGCTTCCTTAGGGAGCCGGGAGACCTAACCCTAGACGCCGCCCTGCTCTCTCTCTCTCTCGCGCGCGCAAGCAACGACGGCGCCACAGCGCCGGCGACCATGCCTTCCTCCACGCCATCCCTCCTTCTCCTTATATAGAGAGGTTTACTTGACTCCCAAGCAAGCGACCCTTATCTCTAATTAACCCTAAGACTAACGGGCTATACCGCCAGCCCAGGCCCATTAGGCCATTACGTACTCTAACACTACACCCCACCTGGACATGCAGCTTGTCCCCAAGTCGGAAGCGGTGACGGCGACGGCGGGAACTTGATCTGCTGGATGGGGACGCCCTAGGACGGCGGCGGCGCTGATGGGAACGAGGTCGTCGCAGTCCCGTCGTAGGGCATCCCATACTGGTACGAGATGACCGGCACCGTGGTCGCCGCCGAGGGCGGCGGCGGCGGGGGGTAGCCGTTGTTGGTGTGGCGGTGGAGGAGGTGGCTGCTGGGGATGCGGCTGGGGCGCATAGGGCCCGACGAGGAAGGCCCTGATGCCCGCCACCGCCTGTCGTAATTCCAAGATTGCGGCTGTCATCTGCTCCAGGGTGAGGACGAGGGCGGACGGCGCCGGGGCAGAGGGTGCAATCGCCCTTGAGGACGCCAGTACACCCACTGCCGGCGCGCCTGCTGTGTGGGGCAGCAGCGCTGACAAAGACGCTGGTGGCGGCGGGTAGGTGTGCGGCAGCGGCGGGTGGGAAGAACTCGATGGAGGGCTGGACATGATCGAACCCGGGAAAGCTGATAC